AAAAAAGGATACCTACCATAATTGAACTATACACAAAATTTTAATAAAAGATACCTAAATTTCAGATACAAAGCTTGTACTAAATAAAAAATTATTATTTCAACTTAAAATTAATGTGTAAGATACAAAATAAAAATTTAATTGATTCTTTCTCAAAAAAGGATACCTACCATAACTGAATTATACATAAAATTTTAATTAAAGATACCTACAGTAATGTATACTGTACCAAAATAAGGTCAGTTACAAAGCTTGATCAATTAATTAAAATTTGTCCCTACCATAATTTATTTCGTCCCTACCATAATTATACAAAAAAAATGTTAATAAAATTATACTACTAATAGAGATTTGTATCATAATTAAAAAATAATTCTTATTGAACTACTACTTCCATTAATTATGTTTCCATTTATAATTTAAATTTTTAATGTTGTCTTAAAATTGCCAAGTTGCTTTTTTTTTTTTTAACTTGCCAATTGATTTCACCTTATGCTTCACTACTCTCCTTTTAATATAATATAGATATAATATAGATAGATATAGATATAGAAATTTAATTACATCACATGTTTCTAAAAAAATTATTTTTAGCTCTAAAGTAAAATTTGTAACAAATATTTTTTCAATAGTAAGGGATCGTTGGATATGAACTGTCGATTTTGTAAGATACAAAATGTCTATGTAAATATTTTTTTCTTAAAAAAGAATACCCACCATAACTGAGTTATACACAAAATTTAATTAAAGATACCTATAATAATGTATATTGTTCACAAATAAGGTTAGATACAAAACTTGTACAAAATTAAAGAATTATAATTTCAACTTAAAATTAGTGTATAAGATTTTCAACGAAATTTTAATTGATTTTTGCTCAAAAAAGGATACCTACCATAACTGAATTATACACAAATTTAATTAAAGATACCTATAGAAAATCTTGGACTACTACTTTCATTAAATATTTTTCCATTTATAATCCAAATATTTTATGTTGTCTTAAAATTGCCAAGTGGCTTCATTTTAGCTTGCCACTTGGCTTAACCACATTGCAAACTACTCTCTTTTAATATAATATAGATTTTTGATGTGTTGAGAAAATGGAGATATTATTTCATCTAATTTTTTTCAGATAAAGCAAGAAGAGATTGCCAGTGATTTTTGTTTTTCAGCTTTTTTGAATAATAGAAAAAACATGATTATCGCTAAAATAAAAATTGATTGTCTCGACATATACAAGAGAAAAAGAGATGACACTGTTTCAGAACTTTATCGGACGATTTCGTTATTAATGTTGCATATGACTTTTCTTCGTAATGGGAATTTGACCAAACACATGCGTTGGTCATTTAGTCCACACCTGTTAGGTAAATGCTGAAGTATATTTTTATACCAAAAAAAAAATAAAGAAGAAGAAGAATATTTCTAAAGAAGGTACAAGCGGCTTACATATTCATTGGTACAGTTTGTCCCAAAACGTAATCACGTGGATTACATCATAGATTCTTTATGTTTTGATTAATAAACAATGAATTGTCGTTTCATAAATAATACTCCCTCCGTTCCAATTTATGTAAACCTGTTTGACTGGGCACGAAGTTTAAGAAAAAATGAAGACTTTTAGAATTTGTGGTCCTAATTAAGTTAAAAAGAGGCCCAGAGTATTTGTGTGGTTATAAAAGCATCTCATTAAGGGTAAAGTTGTAAGTTTATACTAAATTGTTTCCAAATTTAGAAAGAGTTCATTCTTTTTGGAACGAATCAAAAAGAAAATAGGTTCACATAAACTGAAACAGAGGGAGTAATAGGAGTAACTTATAAATTGTTATATTCATTATAATAATAAGAGTTGTTATATATATATATATATATATATATATATTTCTAAATTCTGTCTCATATAAAATATAATATCCATTCCTATCGTAATGTATGTATTGCGTAATACCAAACCAAACTATGAGAATATTATTATTTTTTTCTAATTTTTCCAACCAACAAATGTATTTATTTCGTCTTAGATTTTATGCTAGGATTATTTTTCTTATTCCCGACCAAAAGACCCCTTAATATAGAAAAATCAAAGCTCGAGGAGGTTCTGAGATCAAGACAATTACTACCATTATAGGAAAATTATGAGTTATGACTAAATGTAGCATGAATGAGAAAAGGATAACGACATTCGTTAAAAGATCGTCAACTTGGACTAACGCATACGCATGCCTCCAAAATTCCCTGTCAGGCATTTTGATTAGAAAATATCACGTCTACTTTTTTCGGAATTATCACTTTTAGCCTCCGCAAAAAATTATTTATATTCGATAATTTAAAAGTATATAAATTTATAGAACTTTTGTATATAATATACATATATACACAAAAAAATATAAATATTTCGACTATTATTTTAATAGCCGCTATACACAATATTACACAGACACAGTTCCAGCACCAATCATTTCCAACTTTATACATAGTTTTCCCTCTTTTTTGCTGTTTATTTCTTGGGATTATTCATATATTTCCTCCTAGTGACTTGTGCACTTACTGTTTTTCTTACACATTTTTTTTTTCTAATCTTGAAAATGCTCCCATCTGGAAACAGCACCACAGCTTGGATTCTTACATTGAACTGCTGCTTCTTGTTCTTGATATTTGCTGAATCAAAAGTGCCTCAAGAAGAAGGTATGCTGCAGCTCTTGTCTCTTGCTTTCATGGGTATTATTGGAGTCCATGGGAGTGTGTGTGTG